CAAGAAATTGTTCTTTTTTTTATAATGTTGGCTTGCCTTGAAAAAAAAGCCTTTTACCAACCTTTTACTATCGATAGTTGTGCCTCGGTGGTACGAAATTATTACCATTGCACGCAGGCCGATATCTATTATTGTACGCAGGCCGCTATCTCGTGTTTGGGACTTAATATCTAACTGATACTTTCCGACAGGTCGGAAATAACTATCCTCTGCGCTGTGGTTGTCATTTTTGTGCGATCTCTCAAGCTCACCTGATGATCCTTATATAATTTTAATTATAACTTAACTGCCAAGACAATGCTGTATTATATATATATATAAATATATATATATATAACTTATATATATATATAACTATACTATATATATATATATATATATTGTTACGTTTTTCGTCGGGTTCGTGTTGGATAGATAAGTTTCACAATTATTTAAAACACTATTTATTCTAAACTAATAACAAAACTAATAACGATAAACGACTTATAGAACTATTACAAACGATTTCTAACTAAGAATTTATTTTTAAATTTTAGCGCGTCAACTTTATATTTATAACTGCCCCTGTAGGCCACCGCCGCCGGCTTTTATACCGACGGGTAAAAGAAATCTAGAATTGTCCATAGATTGTTAGGTGCGTAGAGAAGTTTTTCGAATGTTCTCGATATGTACTAGTCCATTCCAATGGGACTCGATCCTTCTCGAACGATCACTGAACTCAGTTGCTCCGTGTACTTATGGTAGCGCGATGTTTAACAGAGTTCATCCGAGGGCGGGCCATATTGCTCGTCCCGAGATGTACACAGGAAAATATGCAAAATATATATATATATGATATATCATAATATATATATATAAAAGTATCTATTATTAGTATATATAAATTATATATAATAGTAGTAATATATAATGCATATATAATTATAATATATATATATATATATATATATATACTACTATATAAAATATATTACAATAACACTAATATTTACGCTTAACCAAGTAATAAAATTTACGTTTAATCAAGTAATAAAATTACGGGGTTTTAATGGGGTAGTGAAGCGGCTCAAATAGCCTCCCTGCCTTATGGCTCGGTAGATCCCGGCAACCAGACTGCGTTCTGTCCAATATCAGGTATCCAACCCTGGTGCTGGAGAGACACCGACTGGGCCAACACGAGAGGAAGAAATAGATATCAGCTCCAGCACCAGTGAGTCGATCTCTCTATCCAGAAAAGTGCCATTTGTTGCGCTTATGGTATGTTTTGGCAGGACAACGAAACCTCCATCCAACGCTGTGGAATCAATAAAATCATCCATTCATCTGTAAATTGCATCCCGGATTTATGCAATTTATGACTGTATTTCTGTTTTGAATAACACCAAAATGCTCCAACAATTTGAGACGAGGGTTATTAAAATCTGTGTTCAGACAATTTGGAACCTTCTCGCAGGCAGCCATAAGGGTTCTTGGTTTCCGAGAGGTTTAGTAAATTCCGGGAATTATTTATCGTACCGTGCCAGGAGAATACACGTACGATCATCTCGCCACTCATCTGAACATATAAAACTGTTATTATCAATGTATTGTTGTATTATTTGCTCAATACACTTGGATATCCAATTGCTCAATACACTTGGGAGAACCAAGTAAGAGTTTTAACAGAGGCCATTGATGATATAACAACAGTAGATAACTTTTTGGCTGTCTCTGAAAATCACATCTTGGAAGATGTAAACAGATGTATCTTAACTCTTCAGGAGAATGAAGCAGACACATTGTAGGAGCTTACCGCAGCCCCCGAAGCTCCCCCCGTTGATCCGCCACTGTATCAAATCCCCTCTTGTTACCAAATTTATCCTCTCAACTTTATGGATTTGAAAGTTTTTTTCTAGCATATTGAATGATTCTGTCGTTTGACAGCACTGCTGATAATTGTCCCACGATAGTATGTACTTTCTTCCACGTTTGAAAATCGCTTTGTTCTGAACTCATCTGCATGGCCTACACGTGTTTCGACAAATTTCACTTCAATTTGATATGTATTTTTTATTCTCTTCACAAAAAAATATATGCTACAGAAGTGCGTTGTTTGGGCTAGAAGGAGTGCTTGATCAGGTAAACCATCTGATAACGCTTGTACTACTCACCGCTCCATGACATTTTCGGGTGTAGCAGGGTATGCAAGGCGAACAGGGCGGACTATATCAGCTTCAAACTTCTGCAGGGACTCATTGGACTTCCAAATACGGTTCTCGAGCTGTGAGTGGTAAACATGCTCCAAATGAGCTTGACGGCTTTATTATTTAAACTGTCCTCTAAGTTCTTACGTACCATCTGTAGTTATTTTCACAAAAATTCGTGAAGGGCGTATACCATTTAGGGTGGCTGCAACGACGGCCCGTAATCTTGCTGTTAAAATATAACAACCTTATATGTACTACCTCTACTACCTCCAGATTTACATACACAGATTACTCTACTACCTAATACTACCTCCAGATTTCATGTTACGACTGCTGCATGAACTTACAAACCCTAAAAATTATTAACAATGACATATTTGCATGACATAAATAAGTTTATAAACCTTAAAATATGTTCTATTACAGTTATGTAGGCGGTACAAGGTTAAATCAAGGTATTAAATTTGTGATCTATTTCTATTTCAATTGTATTTTTCCTGATATTTATTAAACTGCTGTTAAATTTCAATTACTTGATCTTCTGGGAGGGCTGTGATACAATCACCCACGTATCTGTAAACAAATGGAATTTCGACATTAATTTTGGATATTACTGTGTCTCAAGATCTTCTACTATGATCTAGGCAATCACACTGGGATGTAAACATATCTTACACTTATTACAATACCCAGTTCTACAATCAACATTAACATAATTCATTGCATGAAACGAAATAATAATTATCTTCTACCGAACAAGATTACACTTAAAACCCAAAGTCAGATAGTTCAATCTTTCCAGTCATTTCATCTGCTTTTTATGAGCTTCTACTTTTATTTTGTACTGGTAGCTATTGACATTTGGTCTTTCTGTGTCTATAATCTTCTTTCACATCTTGTCAACAATTTTTTCTAACAAATCTAATAACCTCTACTCTAAAAAATAAAATTATATAGGTATTCATAATATTTTTGTTCAAAAGTTTTGATATTTAAATATGTATTTTTACATGAGATTACGTTGTCCATTCATTTTTTTTTTGTATTTTAAAAGCTAATTTAGACTCTCAATTGCCATATTGGTATTTATCCCCACGTTGATCCTATGACCATGAGCCCCCATCGTAATTCTTTTCTCATTTTTCAAATCCCACAATCTCAATCCCACAACTAGTAGCTGTAAAAAATATAATTGAATTGTTTATTTTTGAAATATCCTAAGCGACATTTTGCTAATTTTTCTGGAAATGAAAAAACGTTTAATTTTGTCAACTTGTGTTATTATTTTCCTGAACTGGTTTGGAGATGTTATTTGGACATATTTATTTGGTATTAAACAAAAAAAAGAAATATATTTTTTGAGTCTTAAAATTTTATGTTAAACACTGTACTTGGGTTGTTTCTGAAATAAAAGACATAAAAAAAACATTTTTTGTATGAATCGCAGTGTATAAAACTTGGTGCTTATCCTACTTATTTCTATTACCGATTTTTAACCTTTTCCGGCTTACTAGCATGAGTATTCAAAATATGCTTATAGTAATCCTGATATTCATCAGGCACCCAGCGTAACAAAGTTTGAATGTTATTCAATTTGACCGCGCCTATTGGCAGTTGACCTTTGTAGACTCGTTAAGCGGGAAATTTTATCATTGCTTTGGATGTTTTTGGTTGTCGAAAATCACTAAATTCATGCCAAGTAAAACCGTTAATATATTCACAGGCTCTGATAACATTATTTTTCTCATGAACTGAACTATGTGGTGATACTTAGATACCGAAAACTGAATTTTTTCGTTCCGGTCTTTTTTGTCTTTGTGCCGTCCGATAGGTAACAAGTTGTAGTATATTGGCCACTATTTTTTAAAATTTAAAATTTCATTAGCCGATAATTGTCATGGAAGAAGCGCTCGTCTTGTTTCATTGTCACGTAAATCAACTGAGAACGCTTGTACTGCTAATGTAGCAGGGTATGCAAGGTGAACAAGGCAGGCTATATCAGATTCAAACTCCTGCAGGAGTTGGACTTCTGAATACAATTCTAGGATTGGACTTCTGAATTAGTGATGGGCGGAATCGAATACTTTAGGGAATCGAGTACTTCGGAATCGAGTACAATTTGGAATCGAATACTTTAATGAGTACTGAGTACTAATATCCGAAATTCGAATTGTTAAGTGATTAAGTCAGTTAAATGTATTCGCTAAACTATAGTTTTATTGAATAAAACAGTTTTTATTATTTAAAATATAAAAAAAACATTTATTTATTTAACAAAAGAGGAAAGTTGATGTTTTCATACATAAAAAACAAAATTTATCAACAAAATAAGTAATCCGATATTGCGTACATAAAAAATAAGAACACACTTCTTTAATTCTAAAAAACACTAAAAACTAAAAACAAAATATGGAAAAATTGCTTAAATTATATAAATTATTTTATTCAAAACATTGAATAAAACAAATGTATATATTTAAGAAAATTCAATCCTAAAATTTTAACTGAAAAAAAAAAGAAATATATAACATATTACATTAATGGAAACATTGATTATAATTTATACATTGTTAGAAATCAAAAAACAACATTTTTATCAACAAAATAGGAAATAAATATGTTCGTACCTAAAAAATAATATATATAATAATAATATAATATGTTTTTTAAATTTAAATAGAAAACCAAAAAAATGGTACAAATATTTTCAACGCAGATATTTAATAGTTAAATAAAAGTAATAAATAATAAACAACAAATATTGAAAGCCAATAACAAATTAAATATTTAAATAAACAATTAAAAGCAAAAACATTAGTGTGAATAATAACTATTTAAAAAAATAATCTGATTCAAATTTTTGGGTAGTAAGCGATTTCGTCGAACATTGGTTAATTGTCCTGCTTTAGAAAATATTCTTTCTGAAGGGACAGAAGTTCCGGGAATGCTTAAATATTTTTGAGCCAATTCATAGAGTTCCGGAAACATACTTTTGTTTTGACTCCAAAATTCAAATGGGCACTTTGTTCTGTCTAAATTGGGTAGTTGCAAATATTGTTTTACAGTTAACATTGCTGTTGTTGTCGGTGTTACAACGGATTTTTTTTGGGATAATTTGTCATCAAAAAATGCCCAAAGATTTTTAGATGGATCGGATGTTGTTGCTGGTCCTAAAAGGTTTGGTTCGGGTTCAGACGTGGAATCCGCGTTATTTTTTACAATTATTATTTGTTTTACTTCTTCGATTATCCAAGATTCAGCGTTTTTAGAATTTTCTTCCAGTCCAAAAGCTAGACCTTTAAATCTCGGGTCTAAAATTGTTGCCTTCGCTACCATTTTATCTCTTTCAAGTGAAACAAGCCTTCTTCCTATCGCCTCTAATAATGACTGTTTTAATTTTATGCCAACGTCCGTCGTTGGATTTATATGTTGTAAAGTGTGTTGTAGTCCTCTAATTAGTGGGATGATAATAGATATTGTTGGATATTTTTCTGCCGATAACACTGACGTTATAATCTCGATAGGTTTTAGAACTGGCACACAGTCCCAAACAATACTCCATTCCGTAGCGTTTAAACTAGCAGGGGCTTTAGGCAAACTGGATAATATTACAGATAATGCATCTTTGATCTCTAACAGGCGTTCTAACATAAATAAAGTTGAATTCCATCTTGTGGAAACATCCTGCTTAATTTTAAGAACTGGAAAACCCATTTGAATCTGCGTTGTCTTTAATTTTTCGGTAGCTTGTACACTATGTTTAAAATACGAAACTAGTGATCGAGTTTTTTTACAAATTAATGAAAAAGTCTCGTTTTCTTTTATGCTGTCGTTTACGCATAAATTTAAAGTGTGTGCCACGCATGGGTGATTGTGCTTTTTTAGGTGTTCATTTATGGCATTTTTTATGTTACTTCCGTTATCGGATACAACTGTAACGACTTTGCCCATAATTCCCCATTCGTTTAATATTTTGGTTAATGTGTTACCAATATTTTCACCAGTATGGGCCCCAGAAATCTCGTCGGTAGACAATACTTGAGAATTTAACTTATCTTTATAACTAAAATGGCATGTTAAACTTACATAAGCAATGTTACTATCCGAGGTCCATATATCCGTAGTCACTGAAACATAGTTCACCTCACACAACATTTCTTTAATGTTTGATTTCACCTTGACAAATTTGTCTTTTAAGAGAGTGTCTGTCAAATATTTCCTACTGGGAACTGAATAAAGAGCGTTAAGGCTCTTAGAAAAGTCTTTAAAACCTTTATTTTCAACAAAAGACAGTGGTTGAAAATCTTGAACAATCATTTTTAACAGCTTTTCATCTATTTCTTTTTTTTTGTCGTCACTAAGTTCAGTAGTGCTAGAACCACCAAATAACTTTAATTGTTTTTTTCTTTTGGGTTGAGGCTGCGATGGTTCAGAACTTTCATCACCGGTCGCACGGCCTTTTCCTCTCACAATACTTCCTTCTGTGTGTTCTTCTCTCTGTTCCGCAAATGATTCAGGAGGTTCAGTTGAAGTTGAAGCTTCTAAATTATCAATAAGCTGCTTGTACTGGATTGGGTGTAGTCGGGTCAAATGTTTTTTTAAATTTGTAGTACTGCCGTAGAACTTCAACTTATTTTTACAAAGTGAACAAACAGCTTCACTTTTATTCTCCTTTTTAAAAATATATTTCAAAAAAAAAAAAAAAAAATATAGTATATTTAAAATAAACTCGATATTTTAAACAATAAGAATATTATCAAACTATTTAACCAACAGCGAAACTCTTTATCGAAATCAAAACACTAAAAATATTAAACGAAACAAATCCTACTAAGTAATATTTGATCGAGGCCTCGTTTATTGTAGATTTTTCAGATTTTGAAAAAAAAAAAAAAACATTTTAGGGCATTTACTAAATCAGCTCTTTTATGTTTTCTCCAAAACGCCGCCTTTGCCGGCAAAAAATGCTTATTTTTGGTGCATATTTCTGTGTGAGCGCCGCCAAGTACCGCAAGCTCCTCGCCGCCGAGAGCGCCGGGATGATTGTTTTTCTAAAATTTTTTTTGGATGGAAAATACCCTCGATTCGAAAAAGAAAGGTCGAGTTTGGGTCGGTTTTTCGATTCCCATGAGACATTCGGGTTCGGTGCCTGAGATTGAGTTTACCAAAGTCAGATTACTCAGATAACCCTAGTTCTATTTTCCCGAGTAACTGGGCCTGAGTCGGTCTGTCCCTTTCGTGTTTCCTCTATAAGTAGTTACCACCCCCAGGAAAGGATCGTTTCCAGAATACCACCTGCTGAGACAGGGTTCCAACTTCGTGGACTGATGAGCTGCAACTGTAGGTATGAACTATACTCCAATGGGTATTGCCGAGAACGAATATCCTTTTTTTAAGAATCGGGAATCGATTCTCCATACATCGGATACATATAGATCAAGGGTACTGCGATGCTACTGTTCGAATTTCTTTCCCTCTCACACGCCGTTTTCGCAATTTACTACGTTGGTTTCCTGTATCCGGGAGTACTCCATCACTAGACGTTGACCTAAAACAAGAATTGAATACGTCAGATCAATCATCTCTCTCTCTGTGT